TATAGTATAGTATCGTATTGTATAGTTTATTATAGTATAGTATAATATCGTATAGTATAATATAGTATGGAATCAAAGGGTCTGCAGGAAAATGCATACCGAAAAAGGGTAATTGGCGGAAGACATCGCACAGACTGGACACGAGATCAATTGGAAGGCAACAATGAAAGCACAAAGAAATGCAAGATTAGGGAGGTTATTGACATCGTTTGGGAGAAAATGGTAATCAACGAGAGATTGGAGGAAGGTAAAGTTGGCGATAACTTTGCTTATGGCTTGAGAAAACTCGGAGAAAAGAAGCAATCGTTAATCAGAGGAAACGGGATCGAAAGGTGGAAGCGGATGGGGAAGTTGGGGTAATCAAACGAAGACGTTCTGCTCGAAGAAACAATCACAACTTTGCCGGTCTGATGGTCTCGTGACTAGGCCGACGGATGAGCGCAACCGTCACAGAAATGCGGCATTATTGCCAAACTGCCAAATTCACTAAAATTGAAAAATTTGGTCGCCAAGGCAGCTGCGGCTGATAAATAATGGCATAAAATGAAAATCGGCATTTTGATGAATTTCCCGCCTTCCCATTACTGAACTGGCATTACTTGCATGTTGAAAGGAAGCATTTCTCAGAATACGACTCCTGGCTCTCTTCGGCTCCTGTGACTTTTATGCAGACGCAGTCTTTGAGACGTCCTCCTCGTGAAAGGAGTCAAGAAAGTTCATGTTAAATATGACTTAAATGTTATATCAAGTAAATGAAATACGAAACTGAATGTTGGTAGAAAAAGAGCATTTTAACTTGACCTATTTTCGTGTTCATCCATGCTTACAAAAAAGTGTGTGTGCTAGTGCTAGTGAGTGAAGTGATCTGATCTCGTTTTCGCAAATTGGTCCAGTTGTCAAGTCGAATTTATTTGGACGCACCTCGTCTCGTAGCTATCATAATTCCCAGCGTCGGACCGTGGACTTGGTACATTTCCAGAAGTTTCGTCGGTATCGTCAATGCGTCTTGTCATCCTCAGCACAACTCCCAGCTACAACTCGTCAAAGAGTCAAGTGGAATCATCCCTTTGAACAAATTTCTGCCGAAACAGTTGTGCTATCACTTCTCCCTCTACTCCCCACCCGCTTATCACACTCCTGTCCTATCGAAACGGACATGTGTGCCTTTGTTGCCGAGTTGAGTGTGGTCTCATCACACCTGCTGTCCACTCTGTCGCCCTCCCTTTCGATTGACCTGTCTTGTAGAAGAGTTGTTGCTGGGAGTGATGCTGAGAATGGGAAAATTCACTGGTGATGCCGGAGAAACGTCTGTAGATGTAGAAAGTCCACGAGAGCAGACGACTTCGAACAAAATGCCTCCAACTAAGTCACCGCGACAACACGACCAAGTTGCTAAAATGAGTTCAGCTCACTTTTATGCAACCAAAATAGAGGCCACAAAATGTTGGTCTTCATAACCACCAACGATAATTTCATGCTATTAGAAGTAAGTGTGAAATTTGTCTTGGTTCATCAAGATTTGATGATCGACGCAGGAGTCATCGTCGTCTTGAGGTGAGATCCCATAAACATTCACACAATGTAAAAAGTCAGTTGACTCTTCAAAGTTGAAAGAAACCGATTTCGTTCATGCAACCAAGCCAAGCCCAGAAAGGGCAGGGTGAAAATGCGATTAGCAACCATCTCCAAGATCCAAAATTTCATGTAGCCAACAGTCAATATTGAGAAAAAAAGACGAATAGGCAAAGTAGACAATGAAAACACTAACGGATAAATGAATGACGGTCTTAAAATGACAACAAAGAATCGTCGTAGATACTACTTATGATAAGTATAAGCGACACATTCAGTCTATTTAATTAGAGTATTTAAACATTGGAAAATGAATTTTCCCGCAATCGTACGAGTAGACCTTTCACTTTCAAAAATAATTTCGCGGAGCCTTGCTATTCCGAACCAGGCAGGCGTGGACCGCAGTTTCGGCCTCGCCTCAATTGGCCTCATCGGCACCCACAGCGGGACTCGAACTCGAGTCACTCCACCACACATTGCCACGAGTGCACATGGGTTACAGGACAGGTGTGATTTTCAAGGAAGGCCAGACATTTTCGCAAATCACATTTTGTGGTTGGATTGTCAATGAGGCAAAGTCGCATTGGATAGTAAAAGTGGCAACACTACTTTTCGCATATTGGAGTAGAGTGTCAAGACTACCAGTAAATCAGTAATATGAGATGTATTCATGTGAATTTCAATGGAAACGCCAGCTCAACTCATACGATTGTGGGAAAATTCTTCTTCTTCCAGTTTTTCATCCGCTTAAACGAAATTCGGTGAATACATCTCATACTAATTTTTGCATCCTAATTATTTATTGGCGGGAAGAGCCAGAGTAAGGTTGCGTGTCTGTAGTTCGTGTGTGTGTGTGTACAAGATAATTGCCACATTGTTGATCTTACCTTCACTTTGCGTGAAAGTGTTCTGTGAAGAGCATCGGAGGTTGATCCCACCAGAAGACGATTGCGCATTCCCTCGACCAGCTGTCGATCGGTTTTACTGGAACATTCATGCTGACGCTGTTTCCGAGGCAATCTGCTTCGGTTCCGGTGAAAAGGTGCTGAAATTTCGTCCGTCATATGACGGAAATTATCATAGCACGGTATCATCGTGAAAAACAAATTCAAGCTATCGAGTCAAGAATGCCTTGCTCTGATGATGTTCGTCACATGACGGACGAAAGCTAAGCATCTTTTCACCGGAATCGAAAGCGATTGCCTCGGAAACAGCGTCAGCATGAATCTTCCAGAAAAGCCAATCGGCATCTGGTCAAGCAGAACCTGCCGTCTTCTTCTGGTGGAATCAAGCTTCGAATCTCTTCAGCAAACACTTTCACCAGAAATGGAAGTAGGCTCAACAAAGATGGGTTGGAGACAAGAAGTGATGCCGAGTTACAGGTTGTTCCCACAATTGGCAGCCATGCGGAGGTAGCCAATCGGAAACGGAGTTTTTATCACATCACAAAGGAGCCGAGGTCTTTTTTGCACAATCCGGGAAGCGCAAAACCAGCTCGATCCTCTTTCGGTTTCCCGTTTGGCCAGTCTACACTCGGTCAAGAAAAATGAATAATATGAGGTGTATTCACACAATTTCGTTTGAGGTGATGAAGAACTGGTAGAAGAAGAATTTTCACACAATCATATGAGTTGAGCTGACGCGTCCATTGAATTTCACATAGTCAGCTCAACTCATATGATTGTGGGAAAATTCTCCTTCTACCAGTTCTTCATCCACTTAAACGAAATTGGGTGAATACATCTCATACTACTGATTTACTGGTAGTCACGAAAACAATACTTAAT